CGACGCTCTCTCTCTCTCTCTTGTTGTGTCCTAATATGAATGCTATTTGTATTAGGTTGCTTCAGCTGATCTCTCAACCATAGCTAAGACCATTGACTCGGGATTTGTGCCTGTAAGTCTTGATCTTTCACCGGGCCACAATTTCCATCTCAAAGAATTGGAGATAGATCTTTCCGTATTCATGACATTATTTGGTTCAGGTTATGCATGGAGATGCGGTTCTAGACAATACGCTGGTGTGAAACATCTTTCTAATCTTAAACCCTTTCAGATATTTTTAACGTATATATATATATGAACATGTTTCAACTCATATCGTAATCAGGGCTGTACCATTTTGAGCGGAGACGTTATCATCCGTCACCTTGCAGAACATTTGAAGCCTGAATACGTTGTTTTCCTCGTATCCTTTTGTTTACTCATTCGAAAATGCCTTTTCCAAGTTGGTTCGAGATTTTCTAAATTCATACGGCCCGGAATACGAATTGGAATTCATATTCAGCGTAATGGTTGTTATCCAAAGTAACTCGGGTAAAAAGACAGATGTGTTAGGTGTTTATGACCGACCACCTTCAGAGACTGGTGCTGTGCTTCTGAGGGAGATTGGTTAGTTCCACAAAAACTGTTAATAAATCTCGAAAATGATTTTTTTTAAATACAAACTCCAGATTGATCTTCACGTTTGGTTGCAGCTGTCGGAGAAGATGGAAGCTGGAAAGTTGTAAACCCCGAGGTTGAGCACGCGGACAAGAAAGGTAACAATCCGGAAAACGGTATCTCATTGCTTCCAAGAAAACAGGTTAAGGGACCAGTTTTTTCCCGTCTTTCTTTGGAACGAACAGTTGAAATATCTGTTGCGGCTCACGACACGACCGGGGGAATGGTAACAAAGATATCGGAGGCTGCGATGATTGCGAAGCTCGGAATCGATGTATACATTGTGAAGGTAAGTAGTAAGCATCAGCAGTTATTTTGGGTTACAAAACCATTGTCTTAAGCAAAAGGCTGAGATACTAAAAACAGGGGCCAATGCTGGGTATGTTTTTTTTTTTTGGTCTTTTTCGGACAGGCGGCTACAAGGCATTCACAGAGAGCATTGAACGGAGATTTGCGAGGCAGTGGTCCTCCGGACGACTGGCTTGGCACCTTCATTAGATTCTCAAACTAAAGACTTAACTCTACTATCCAATTCCAGTATACTCAACCAAATTTATCAATGTTTCGTATTATTATTATTTTTTTTACATTGATCCAATTATGATTTGAATTAGTAGAAACGAGAGAAAAAAATTGAATATTTTCATCGCGGTTTAAACCAAAACCAAATTCAGAATAAACAAAGCTCGATTTGTCCCTCAAATTCAGAATGACCTAAAAAAGAGACAGGAAAGCAGAACAATCAAAATAAGTCTAAAGTGAATCACACAAAACACACACAGTTCAGATACAAGAAAAGAGCATAGAGAGCTTTGGTCTGTTTTTTAACATCATAGCTTCTCCCCCAACAACAAGAACCCAATGAAACAGGTCTCCCCAAAAGTGTTTTCATCCTTGCTGGCTTAATATAGTCTCCCTCCCAGGAAGAGGAATGAGAGGGTAAAGGCCTTCTAAGTCTTGGGACCGATATCCTTCAGGCCGCAGATCTGTTCCTCCCCCATTGCTGACATTACCGACACGATGAGGTCCTTTCCCTCCTCGAATCCATCCTTTATCTGCACCCACCAAATTTCAAAATGACTCCGGGAAATCACGATAATACTGTTCCACAAACAAAGACAACAATAGAAGACCGATCCTTGTTCTGATCGAGGATTCTTAGTTTCTGATCGAGAGACCAGCGGATTCAAGAGGGGAAGACAAGGGCAATAAAAAAAATAACCCAAACCCACCTGTTTGAGCAGACTCTCATCGGTTGGAAGCCTGAGGTCATCCTTAGTGTCTCCGCTATCAGTCAGAAGACTAACCTGAAACCATTTTACGACAAAATCCGTAAGCTTTTACCACTCAAGAGATGTGAGTAATGAGAGAAGTGAGTAACGAGATCAATACGAATCCATCCTCGGAGATGTCAATAAGCTGGTAGTCGGTACGGTTGACATGGGGAACCTGCAAGAGCACCACCAGGTTTGATCAAATCACAAAATCAATAGAAAAATCCCCACCAAGAAAATTCAGAGATATATATATATATATATACGGGACAGTACATCACAGTTGTGGGAAGAGGGGACAATATCCTCGAGCTTCTTGCCGGTGAAGATATCGATCGCGACAAAGTGACATTTAGCATGACCGTGCTTTCCCGTCTTCGAGGTTGAAACCTCCACAACCTACAGCTCAGACGACATAAATCGATTCAGACAAAAAAAAACAAGAACTTCTAGTCATAACTGGTAATCAGTTTTGGAGACAACACACACACACACACACTATAATAATCAGTTCATACTCCTTTTTTTTTACCACATTTACACACCGATAATGTCTTAGTTCTTCAATATTCCACGGATCTACAAGAAGGAAAAAATAAATCCCTAACGCAAAAGAATATATCCAAGGCCATAACCAAACCATAAGATAATTCTTCCAGAGAAGCGAAATCAATGAACCTACAGGGTAACAAAGATATATCTATGCAATGAAACAGAGAGATGAACCACAAAATCACGCCGATCGGAAGGATCAAACACCCCCACCGTACAAATCAAATTAAAACTTCCAGAAAACAGAAAAATCACGGAGACGGGCTACATCGAAAATCTAGCATCAGAAAACTCAGGATCATAGCGCGAATCAACAATAACAGGGAAACAATCTCTAGGGGGGAGATTAAGAGACAGACCTTGCAGGGACGAGCCTTGATGACGATGTGGCCGTTCTTGCGGATGGTTCCAGCCTGCTGAGGGTAGGTCTTGGAAGCTCCGGCGTCGGCTTTGGACTCGAAGTGATGCTCCTCGTCCGACATAGCTGAGACAGATTTCAGAAAGCTACGACCACAACAGAGAAGCCGACGTAGAAAGGAGAAAAAAACAAGTTTATCTTATAGGGAGAAACGACGACGAATCCTTTCAACCGTTGGATTAAGATCTGTTGTACGGCCAGATTTGTTTGGGATGATAAAAATATCTTCGTCATCGCGTGCAAACGACGCGGTCCCACACGTGCGGCGTCGAATTGCTTATTATTCGAAACGCTGCGTTTTGAGTGAACTACAGTAGCATAGATTTACATTATACAAGACCAAAGGAAGGTACAAGTCAAAGTCAACCATGTGACCAAACGTAGACAACAAGTGGATAACGAATTCTCTTCACTGTTTCTTGGTGTCCGAACAAAAAATAGATAAGGGTCTCTCGCCTTCTCTGTCCAACCACCTGTGAATGAACACTTGAGGAGGCTCTTCTCTGCGATCGATAACGACGGATAAATACGTGTTTCAATCGAGTAATGGAACGAACAAAGAGAACATAACCGTGGAAAACGAATTCAAAGAACTCACTTTTCTTTAGCTTCCTGATAAGTATGGCTCGAAGCAATGGCCACGAGCTCTCCAGTGTGGTTAAATGCCAATGATGCAATGCTATTCGGGTATCTTGGCATCTGAAGGAAATAGTACATGAAGACAGTTTAGCAACCGGAAAAAACTGTTTCTTTTCTCTAGAGAAGCTAAGCTCGGTGTTAAAACATATATGTGTGTGCGTGTATATATGTGTGTACCTCGAAGAGTTTTCTTCTGCTTTGAGCATCCCATGCGATAACGTATCCCTCGTTGTCACCAGTGACAAAAGTCCCAGAGCCACTGTGGGGGAGAAGACAAGAGTGAGACAGGAGTTTTCTCATCATGGAACTCATAGATGATGATGAAATGAGGCAAAAAAAAAAAAATACCATGGATTGAATTCAATGCCGTTTACAGAAGCAAGATACAGTTTTCCGTTCTTGGACTTTGGATGACACCGAAAGGTATATCTACCAAAAACAAAAGGGTACAAACATGAGTCTGAGTATGCTTTTGTTGAGATTGCACTAGCCAAATGTAATCCCCTCGAGGACAAAGTTGAACAAATGATCATTTTCTGCATTTCATCATCCATGACTTACTTGATCTCACTGGAGGATGCTGTATCCGCGAAATCCAATGCTACTCGTCCATCCACTGACCCAACTGCATATCCTGCTCATGAAAGACTGTAAACATTCTAAAAAATTAAGCCAAACCTAAACAAAGATGAAAAACTCTGTCTTTGAATTATCTCCCGTTTCATGTAATGAAGATGTATACGTTTGTCCTATGTCAAGGATTCCTGAAATCAGAAGCTTACCTCTGGAACAAGGAACGGATGTGACGCATCTGATAGGAACATCGACTTGCGATGGACAAGATTGAAAGGGTTGTTGTAAGTTACGCAGATCGTATATAAGCATGTATGCTTCGATGCAAACTACTAAGTTGAATCCAGAGATTGCCATGCATCCCACTGCTGCACATGTAGAAGTAGCATACACAAGACTCTTCCTTTGTCGTGCATCCCAGACTTTGATCTTCTCATCCAAACCAGCAGAAACGACTTCACCTTAACAAATCATCCATTATAGAGAAGCAGATTTAGAAAAAAGCATCCGACTTCCCATATTACACCCTATGTTTCATTTGAAAACTCAGAAAAAGCTTCGAAGAGTTCGTCAACTCGGAATTTCTTCAATGAGATCTAGGTTGTAGTTTTCTGGTTCAATGTGCAATTTGGATCAAAACTCGGAAAATGGGGTGTAAAAACAAAATAAAAGCACCAAAGCACTTATTCTTGAAAACTGATGTCATAATATTGCTTTTTGAATACTGAAATGTGCCTTTATGTAATATCACGGACCAGAGACTGCAAGTCAGAAGGATCATAAAATTTATAACCCTAGATCATCCTGACCACCCATCAACCTTTCGACTTGGATTTCATTTTCTCTAACTCAACCTATCTGCCCATGTTACAGTTGGGCGGGAACAGGTATAGAAATGCCTGAGGATGTTTATCTTCGGTAACTAATGCAGAATGTAAATCGAAATATTAAGCATTTCAACCACCAAATATGACTATGATAAACAGAACAATACATCATACATTCTAAAACACAGTTTCATCTCCCAGAAATAACATTGATTCTCGGAATCCTTGGCAATATACCTTGAAGGATGATGTTTCATTCCGATGGGAGTCTAGCAAACGACCTTCAATGTTGTAAGTTTGAACGACAAGTTCTTGGATGGAGTTAGTGGCTTACCTTTTTCACCCGAGTACACAATGGATGTTGCAACATCATCATGTCTTCCAATTGTTTCAATCGTTCCAACGTTCAAATCATACCTGATAAACAAGATTTCAGGCATTAAATTACCATATAGAACATGTAATAAGAAGCTCCCCAGCTCCTCATGAAAGAATGTGATCATGTGTGTATCTCATCATCTTACGTGCCCAGAATTCAACATTTTAGTCATGAAAATTATCAATCAATCTAAGAATCTCGATGCTAATATCAAATTAAGCGAAACCCATTTTCAAATTCTTGATAACATATGGACAGCGGACCTTCGGATACATCCATCAGAACCGGTGCTAAAAGAAGTCGACACATTCTCGAAACAGCAATCAAGTAGAGCAGCCTCGGAGGGCAATTCTGAAATAAGCTCTGATCTCTCAACATTGTACAACCTGAGATACTGCACATACTCAAACAACAGAAAACAATTCATCAACAAACAGTTATCGTAATCTGCGTCCGGGAACACCGCGCTACTGATTTGGGATCGGCGAAATGAAAGGGAAAACTTACAGAATCCCATGAAGAAACCAGAAGGGTATTGGACTCTGGAGAGAATCTGAGCCTCGAAACAGCGTCACCGATGGTGTTTCCGAGACCGAGACGATTCCCATTCATGCTCCGATAGTTTCAGCTCGAAATCTAGAACCTTTTCAGGAAAGATAAACCTACTAATTCCACAATCGTTGGCGTTGTTCACAGGTGGAACCCTAATATGAACGTCCCGCCCGCTCACCAAGTTCAAATGAGAATGGGCAATTCCCCAACCCCCAAACATTAATGGGCCTTAAATAATGGGCCTAATGGATCCACTTCATTCTCGGCCCAGAATGTAGCACTACTACCTGCCCAAACATTTAATATTTTCGGAGTATTTTCCTAAACAGTAGAATTTTAAGTTTTTTTTTTAATATTGCATGGTTGAAAATTATTTTGAGAATTGTGTGTTTATACTTTTACTAAATTAAATTCATATTTTACATATAATATAGTCAAAATGTTGAAATTAACCATGATATATTATGGGTAAAATAATATCATATTATAAATACACCGTTTACTACACAATTTTTTTTTTACTATGGCACGTATTTGGAAACAATACCGTATAAAAAAATAATAAATGGGAAAATGTGTCATTGATTTATTGTTGCATGTATATGAGTTACGTTTATATACCCCATGCAAATTACATGATAGTTAATTTTATAACAAATATTTAATTACTAGTACGTCACACATATTATGTGTTATATAGTCTAATAGATCGATGACTTGCTTGTAAAATATCGAAATAACATTTTTTAATTTTTTTTAAGGATCTTGTACATGTGTAATATTTTGTTCCCTGGAAAATAGCGGACGAATATTTGATACTTATACTTTGTGTGAGCCTTTGCCTTAATTTTGTAATGTCCCATTAAACTCATTGAACGTATATAACTATGATACGTATCCTTTGCCCGCTTTAATAAAGAAAATAATAAAATAATATATTTATATATGCGCATATCCATAACAGGGAGTTTATATTACATGCATGCATATAATTTGTTACGCGTGGTTAAAGTATATACAAATCCAATGTAAGTCCAAAATAAATGCAACTTTTATAATAGTCGCCTAGTCGGAAAGCATATGATAAAAATATAACTCTACACAATTATGCATGTATATATATCTTATTTTGTTGTAAATAATATTGTATTTGTTAAACCATAATTTTTGTCCGTGTGTAAACCTGGTAGCTTTTGGCACATATATCTTACGTGTAGATTAAATAAAATTTGATAAAACTAATCGCAATAAAATTGAAACGAAAAATGTATACAACAAACACACAACAAAGAGAACAAAACAATATTTATTTTACTAATTTTATATTTAAGTCCCAATTATTGTTTTTTAAAATTTTTCTGCAATGAATTATTTGAGTTGAATTATATAAATAATTGTACCAATCATTATAGTTCAACTTTGCCAATCATATCCGAAAACCAAATTAACTTAATGCAATCATTCCAATGAAATACGTGTTTACTAATATATATATATTTTTGCATATGGGTTGATTATAATTATCTACAAAGTTGTGACAAATATCTTGCTACACGGTATTTATATTTGGCAGATTACTTTACATAAACAAGTTTTATACTTCATTCCGTTAACAATGGGCGTGTATTTATTAACATGGTATGCACATGAATATTATATTTTATTAATTAAATATTCTATATGTTCAAGTTGGTACGTTGCTTAAAAAAATAATAATTATTATAAACATTCCAAGTTGACTTGCATCTGTCCATAATAATATTATACATTAGATTTAAATCCCAGAGTCCAACAAAAATAGCCACGTGTCCATGTTCGAATCAATTTGCTTTCTGAGAGGAGTGGCAGTTAACGTAATAACTTCCAAAACCAAGCCCTTTAACAAAAACTGCAGCAGAGCGGATAAACCAATCAGAGAAACAGAAACAAGAATCTACTAACAGCAATCCCTGACTGGTAATTATCTACAAAACGAGGGGTACTTATATATAGGACCCACACCAAACTAAAATCCTCAAAAGTGCCACGTCGGGAGAGGGGCCCACAGGCTTTTTTTAGTCAGACCAAATTAATAAACAAATCGGTGCTTAGTTTGGAAATTGTTTATTGTTATTATCAAACTTGTAATTTAGGGTAAAGATTTGGTCCTAACAACTTGCTTAGGTTTTAACATAACTAGAACTTATCATTTTTATTTTTTATTTATGTGAATTTTTTTAAAAAAAGCTTTATGTTTTTTAATCTAACCGTATATATTTCGTTTCAGCCCAACTAAATACGAGACATTAAAAGTTATATAATTAGTGTAAAGAATAAATACTACAAATTGATATTTTAGGATAACAAGTAAAGATTATTCTTTGATCGCACATTTTTTAAGTTAAAGCCACGGAGAGAATCTAGGGGCAAAACTGTACATTGGATTTGTAAAATTCAGTTGTTTGATTGCGTGTACTTTAACCTTTATTATTTATTATTGAAAAAACAAAAACATAATTTTGTAGCTAATATCACAAAAAATATAAATTCGAAACCGAATATATATATATATATATATAATATTAAGTTAAATATTATTGGAGTTAATTTTTGCTTAGAAAAACAGGAAATATGAAATGATGAGAAGACGCAAATAGTGGAGTCAGGGAGACCAGATGTCGACAAATTTCATGTAATTTTTCTTTTATCTTTTCCTGGGATCTCTCTCTCTCTCTCTCTCTCTCTGCACCAAATCCGAAATATAAAAGCTCTTATTCTTTTATTTGTTGTCTTCGTTACAGAGAGAGAGAGAGAGAGAGAGAGAGAGAGAGAGATGGCCCAGCGGATCGAAGAAGACGATCTGAGTTTATGGAGTTTCGATTCTGACGCACTTTGTGTGAACTCTTTTCTCTAATTTTTTTTTTTGCTTTCTTTCTGCTCGGAAAATCATTCGATGTTATTGTTTTTGGTATTATCTCTTCATCAATTTTTACTTTTATTTCTTGTTTTTTTTTGTTGTCGCTACAGTTTCTCCGATTACCCAAGGTGTTATTTGAAGATCGATCGTTCCTGTTCATAGAGCGATTCAAGGATTTGGGTTCTGAGGTAAAATTCCCATCTCCGTATCTCCCCGATTTTATTTACTATTCCTTTTTTTTTCCTCATCGGCTTGATTTTCCTGCCTTTTTTGTATAGTTGATTCTGTTTTTTCTTCTTCTTTTATAATCTGTGTCTCCTGCTGATTTTTTCGTGGATTTCTGCGTGCTGTTTGTTGCTGGACAAATTAGGTTTGACATTTGACTGAAATTCTTTCTGTTCATTGAAGCCCATTTCGTTTTTGTCTCTACTGTTTATGGTTTAGAAATGAGGTGCAGGTAAGTCGTAATCTTAGTTCCACAGAGGTTTTCGTCAGGTTTTAGCTCTCCCTGTAGTGGCGGCTTCTGTGTATAATTCCCGATATGCGTTGCAGCAATCTTGTTCCATTGTTCTTTCCCACCTGACGGGAAATCTGTTGTTTCTCTCTGTGTGCGCGTGTGTTTTCTTCTTCTTCTTCTGAGAATTGAATCTGAATCCAGCTCCCATGTTAGGGGTTTCCGCAGAATTCAACCTTGCTTTGTTCCCTTGCATTGAAATCATTGTTTGATTGAGATGGTCTTTAGCTGAGATCATCTCAGAATTTCGGTATTCATCCATCCATTCTGCTGAACTTTTACGCGTGTCGATTTCAACGTAAGGAATGGGAGCAGCGGTACACTGTGAAAGCATTGTAAGAGGGCATTACTCAATGAGGATGGACCTCAGTGAAGATTCAAACAGCTGCAGCTGGTCAGTTCGCTGCGGAGATAAAGATCCACGCTTTCGCCACGAGAGGGATTTCGTGAAACGAACAATGCTTGAACACGAGGCCACATTCAAGAATCAGGTATCTGTATCTTTTCCTCGTGTTCTCGCTCTTTTGGTGACGGATTTCGTTAATCGAACCTTTTGCTCGTTCATGTTGATGATATAGGTGTCTGAGCTTCACCGTCTGTACAGAGTGCAAAGGACTTTGATGGAGGACCTTAGACAAAAAGAGTTGAACGGTAATGTGAACCGAGCTGAAGCTACTTCCGAAAATGAAATTGCTCAACAGCTGATGCCTCGCTTTCTCTGGGGAAACCTGGATTCTGTGGGGCCATCAATTTTAGGAGGCAACTCTCAATCTTGTGATAAGGATCAAGAGGTGGTAGAGGTTAGACCAGTAAAAATCAGGAGAAAAATTATCGATCTTCAACTCCCGGCCGAAGCGTATATGGATACAGATGAAATCAGCGACCTCCATGGCAATCTGCCATTTCCTCACCATGAAAGATCAAACTCGAGGAACATTCTCGAAAGAGGCAATGCTTCTCATCAGGAAAATTCTTCTGGAACTTGTTTGGGTTTGAAGAAATTAAATGGCTTTGCTGACTTGAATGAGCCACCAGTTTGTTTCCATGAAGCAGAACCTGTTGCTTCTTCAAAGGATATATATTCTCCTCATGGGAAAAACAATGCGCATTTACAAGGTCTTCGCTTGCAGAAAGATTCAAGTCAACATCAACGGTTGGTTAGAGAAGGAGGTGAATTTTCTCAACGAGTTCCTCGCTTTCGGTTTCTCTTATGTGTACAATGATGCTTCTGTGCTGATGCTGTGTTTTTATAGGGCATGATACAAGCAATCCTTTCCATTTGGTGCAAACTTTTTCCAACAGCGGATTTCAACCTCGGGTTTATCCTTCATCTGACCATGGCATGGCAAAATTCTCAGCAGAGAGGACAGTTTTTGAGCTGGAAACTCGTTTAAGGAATCCAGAAGTTTCATATTATAGCCATGTGGAATCCAGTGTGGCATCAAGGGTTCCAAGCTCACATGGCCATGGCCTGGAATTTCTGCAATCGTCGACCCATTGGCTTTCATCAAGGGCCAACCCCAGTAGCAGCTCGGATCAGAGTTTCTCGCCTGTTCAAGAGAATCCATTCCTGAATCGTAACAATCAAGGAAGAGCCAATACAAGTTCTGAGATTTGGCGTCGTGACTTAAACTGCCTTTACCAAGGATCCTCTTCTCGGCCCAAGGAGGTTCTCTTGGGTTTCCCGCCAGTCAACTGTAACCATATTAAGAATGGCTCAAATGGGGAAATATCAAATGATCCTTTTGGTGCGGTGGTGAAGTACCGGGGTCTTGAAAGCCTTCAAGGGCCGAAAATGCATGAGTGTTCAACTGGGTTGTCCTGTGTAAAGCCTAAGCTCCATTACAGAAGTGAAATAACCGATGGCTGCTGCTTGGATTTGAATGCTTCTATACCTCAAGTCACGGATGAAAGAGCTGAAATGACCGATTTCCAGAGTAGTAGAAAGATTCTAGGATCCTCAGAGAAGCATTCTATCGTCAAGGAGGAGCCTTCTTGCTTTACCTCTCCTTCCATCTGTATCACTGGTCAACTCATGGAAGTGAATAAGATGGTGAAAAGCGACCATGGTACTGAATTCGCCATTGTTGATGAGGAAGAAAGCAAAAGAGCTACCAGATTCAGACATCACATTGATCTGAATCTATGCGCTAGTGAGGATGAAGATTCTGGCATGGTTTCTGGTCTAAGAGTGAAAAGAACAACTCCATGGATAGATTTGGAAGCTCCTTTATCACTCGACAGCGAGGAAGAAGCGGAGAAATCACCAGAGAAGACAAAAGAAGACCCTTGGGGATTACGGAAACCTGAAGGTAGAAACTTTATCGATGAACTCCTCAAGGATGCAGCCGAGGCAATAGTTTCCATCTCGTTGTCCCATCACCGATATCATCATCCAGATGAAGCTGCATCCTCTTCGACCGGCGGTCTCGTGAAAGACACGACTCTCGTTTGGTTTGCGGAAACAATCGCCTCTTGTGGTGACGAACTGGAAAAACATATCGAAGCGTTTTCAGGAGGCGGCCGTGAAGAATGTTCTTATGGAGAATTCGATTACTTTGAGGTCATGACCTTGAAATTAGCCGAGACAAAGGAAGAAGACTACATGCCTAAGCCCTTAGTACCTGAGAATCTGAAACTTGACGGGACTTGTTCTAAAACTGCCGTACCAAATCGCCCAAGAAGGGGACAACCACGACGAGGAAGACCAAAACGAGATTTCCAAAGGGATATCCTTCCCGGGCTTACTTCTCTAGCAAGGCATGAAGTGACGGAAGATCTTCAGATCTTTGGTGGCCTTATGGAAGCCAGAGGTAGTAGTTCCTGGAATCCGGGAGAAGTGGCAAGAAGGAACATAACCGACGGTGGATCTAGCCGAGGAAGAAGAAGAAGAAGACTGGTCACTGACATTAACAGAGCTCCAAGTTGGGGGATAGCGACCAAAAGGCCGAGGAGACAAACGCTGCCCTGCAGGTAATAAACCAAACCGTGAATCTTGATCATAACATGAGTTTCAACTTCAAGGATAGGTCGGAATTTACAGATCAAAGGAAACCACTATAGAGGAAAACTACCATGAAACTGCTGATTAAGTACTGATGAAGGAATGATGTATTACTATGAAACCCACTTTAGGGTTTTAGAGTATTCTTGCCCATAATGCACATCCCTTTGTCTTCTGTAAGATGAATCCAACTAATGAGATTGCTCTTGTATTAGGCATATTGCACAGTTCCTGAATTCATATGTTTGCATTTAAGATTCTGGTCATAGCCCTTGAACGAACGAATCTATAACATGTTTTTTCTAATGATCCGAGAATCTGCATTTATCTCCTCTGCTCCTCGATTATAGCCAGAGACCATAGATGTCCCATGAAACAGCATTCATGTTGCCTTTACTCTGCACTGAACCGAGCAAGTCACTACATTTACTAAACATTGTTAATGACAAAGTTAGCCTGTGTTTTACCCAAAACTGTTGTCAGAAATGAATTGTAGACAAAGATCCGAAATACAAATAGATACATAAAAAAAAAGGCTAAAAGAGAAACTTATTCGCATCTTCAGACAAAAGGGAAATGTGAATCAGAAACAAAAGAGTTGGTTTTTTATGGCCGTTGATACACATACTTTGTTCTTGGGTCCACGACTAGACCTTTCCCTCCGTTCACTTCCAAATCATGCCTGCCGATATCATACAACACCCAGTATATATAACACATCAAACATCACAGTCAGATCATCAGATATGCATACTTGAGGTGAAAGGACAAAAAAAGAAGAAGAAAACTTAACTGGAAAACGAAATCTGGAATCGTCAGCTGCTCACGGGGAACATGTTTGAACAGCTGCAGGAGCCGATCAACGTATACAACCTTCTTCCAGACCTGACGAGAGGGCGAAAAAAGACGGCTTCTTTGTATGGATATTTTACATTTCCGTTGAAAGATCAAGGCTTTGGAATAGGTTCAAATTTACCACATTATCCACGAGCAATTGTAGAGTAAAGATCGTAGCTTTCAAGGGGAAAGTTGGGTGAAGAACATAGATAGCCTTCACAGAAAACAGAGAAGATGAAGACTTGGCCCGGTGAAAATCTTCCATATTAGATTGAATGGTAACGACCAACATACCTGAAGATTACGCTGGTGCTTCTGACTGAGTATTTGTTGTAATCTCTTCATCCATCCCAAATCCGGTTGGCTGTTTATATCAACATGGAATTCAAGGAGAAGAAGAAATATTAAAAAAAAATGTATCATTGCAGTTTACGCAGCAGAAGGGCCTCTTT